CAGCAGTCCCGGCGCTCTAATCGCTGCAGTTTCGCCATCGACTTGGGACAAAATAAGCATAACATGCGCATGGAAAAAGGTCATCGTGGCGACCCGAACGGTTGTTGGTACGGTTTGTTCAAGAGCAGACCAAGCAAACATGTTTCGTTGCGGTTGACAAAATCTGTTCCGACATACTAATAGCGACAATTTGCGTTTGGGACGCATCAAAAACGTTACAAAACAATACCTCAACACTAAAAAGTGTTGCGTCATTTTCAATCCACATTGAATTCAAAGGCCGCATGTTACGTGTCATGCTATATTGCCTGAAATACACAAGGTCAAAGTTGTTGTTACTTATATGAAGAGAGGAAATCCCTGATGTCTTCATTAGAGATGCACCGGCATTGCTGCGCATTAAATGGCAGAAGACTCAGCCTCCTGCGTGGATACAACACTCATGCATACTCCGTTATATAATCCAGGTCGGAGATCAACGCATGTTTCAGTATCTCAAAATAACACCAAGTGCCTTTGTCATGTTAGATTACGAATAAATTGATGATGATACGCTCCAACAATAAAGTGTTGCTCAGTCCTGACCCACTTCTATCTGTCGGCCGCACAGACATCAGCGGAATGCACTGCAGCGAGCAACTGAAGGGGAAGTTCCATCCTGTGGGGGCCTGTTTCAAAACCTATGAAACGAACGACTGGGAAATTGTCTGTAGTGCCACCCAAATGTGCGGAAACATCGTGGTAATGCAAGATAACTGCAAATTATTTCTTGACTTCATAAAGTTACGTGATTGTTGTCGACATCACTAGTCATTTAGTGTCTTTTCAGAACTCCGAAACCGTTGCCATAAGGTGGCACTGTGACTTGGCCTGAGCCTTAACTCTCGCCCCGACAGCGAAAGAGGGGGTCGAGCGACCCTTCTACCCCTAAGGTTTCCTAGAAAACCGCTTCAGCATGTCATGTAATCGCACCCAAATTATCAGCGGCATGTGGGGGAGGGGGCACCAATGGCGCGTGTTTTTAAACAAAAACGTGTCCCTAACATTTCTAGTTTCGGAGCAACAGCAGTTTTGTTACGAATACTGCGCGGAGATCTACGGCATGAGCGGGCGTCGGGAGGGAACCGATGATGCCTCGGAACGCACGCGGCGGGCCAACATTGCTACGTTAACGAACCTATAGCTACTACATATATGCTAAACACACACACGCACGCACGCACGCATGTACGCACTCACGCACTCACGCACGTACGCATGTACGCACACACACACACACAATTACAAACGCATATATATATATATATATGCGTGTTATATATACACACATATATATATACATATATATATATATATATATATATATATATATATATATGTATACAAGCGCTTATCAACATAAAGCTATACCCCTTCCCGACACTTAGAATTGAGCAAGAAACACGCTTGCTAAGGTGTTGTGTCGCTAAGTGGAATGGTCCGTTATATGTGAGCATGTTAAGCTAAGAAAGTTTGACTTTCGGTAAAACTTGAGCTTTGACTTCATATTCAAGGGTTAATTATTGACATAGGAATATAAAACTGATTAATAACCGCGAAAACCTGCTGATGTAGCGGCGCGAGGCCAACACGGCGACTAGCGCGTCACCGATGGGCGGCTCCAGCATGGGTGGTTGCGTGTATATAGATAATATATATATATATATTATATATATATATAATATTATATATATATATAAATGGTGTGTGGCTATACTGTGTGTGTGTTTAAGGTTTGTTTTCACTACGTTTATGGTGGACCGTATTATCAGTACCCAAACTATAAAGGTACGTCACAGATGTGATTTATGGCAGCATCCTTTCATCGAAACCAGCTGCTACAGACAGCTATACCATTAGACAATTTGCTCCAGCTATACTAAACTACAGACTGATTGTTATTTGGCTCACCAGCATAACAACTTTGGGCCAATTGACAATGTCGTTCATGTCACTGT